CTCCAGAGTGTTGTTCAGCATGGGGGTGAGTAGAAAATGAAGGTTAATCATGTTTTGGGTGTACTATTCCTTTAATAATTTATTACTATGTGATAAGTCAAGATTATTTTTTGTGTAGTCTTCTGCCCTCTGTTATCAGGTATATCTGATTGTGTAAAATAGGATTTTGAGCAAAGTTTTTACCATTAAATTATGCAAAAGGTGTCAGACGCAAAACATTTCAGAAACCGTATGTATCAAATACGATGCACTGCAAAAAATTTCAATCTTAATAAGTAAATTTTTCTTAAAATCAGAGCATTTTTTCTTGAATTGAGGAGGTAAGTGAGACACTTTGCCAATGGAACAAGACAATTTACATTTGAAATAAGAAAAAACAACTGCATTTTCTTATTTCAAGTGAATTTTATCTAATTATCTTATTTTAAGAGTAAAAATACTCATTCCATTGGCAGATCCTCTTACTTACCTACTCAAATTAAGGGTAAATACACTTAATTTAAGAAATATTTACTAATTTCTAGATTGTTTTTGCAGTGTACGTTTGGCATTATAGGGTTAAAGTGAATTGTTAGCTTAGCATCCTACAGAAGAGGATTAGGGCCACTGGAAAAAAAAAAAGTTAACTGATTTGTAAATTTCACTTTAACATGGGGGAAAAAAAGTCAGAATTCTGAATTTTTTTGAGAAAAAAAAGTCAGAATTTTGACTTTTTTCTCAGAATTCTGACTTTAATCTCAGAATTGTGGATCTTAATGTAGATGGGCACAATGAAGGAATAGATGTGGAGCGCTCAGCTTCACTGAAAAAGATGTGAGTTCTTTGAGAGGGTCAGTGATATATATTGGTGGAAAATGACGGAATTAGGCAACTTTTTACGTACCCGATGGGTCCCCTCATTAATGGAGGAGCAGAAGGTCATTAAAATTAGAGAGCTAGTCTCTAAAACAGACATGGCTATGGCTTGATGCTAACATGTTTGTTGGCTGTCAGAATTCTGAGTTTAAAGTCAGAATTCTGAGAGAAAAAAAGTCAGAAATTCTGAGAAAAAAAAGTCAGAATTCTGACTTTTTTCCCATATTAAACTGAAATAAAATTTAAAAATCAGTTTTTTGTTGTTTTTTTTCAGTGGCCCTAATCCCCTTCCGTCGCATCCTTGCAATAAGAAGGTCCAAGTTTTAAATCCTAACCAGACCTCTCTCTGCTCTATGTTCTCCCTATGCATGGTTGGACTCCCCCCTGGTACTCCAGCTTCCTCCAATGCATGCTTTGATATATAGAGCAGCAGAGGAGTCAAAAGTATTAATATTTATTAGTCCAGTAGAAATATAAATCCTACTGCTTTAAAAACACTTGAAGAAGTTACAAGATCAACTTTTTACTCAAGTAAAAGTATAAAAGTGCAGTTTTTAAAACTACTTCAATTATAAAAATACAAGTAATGAAGGAAAAAATTTTAGGAAATATGCTTTAAACTTTATACTGTTTCTGCGCAACTGTATTAGGAGCAAAATCACACAAATTTTTTTACTTTAAGGAAAAGTCGCTCATATTCAGAATTCAAACTTCTTAAAGGTCTTTAAAGATTAAATTAATTCAGAGTAATTTTCATGTGAATGTGCTTTACTGGAGGCATCCATGTTTGTCAAAGAACACTACTGCCACCTACTGGTTAGTGACGTCACGGTGCGGTATCNATATATATATATATATATATATATATATATATATATGTGTGTGTGTGTGTGTGTGTGTCATTTATGCACAATTTGCAAGTAGAAAAATACTACAGCATTAACAGACATGTACTTGTAATTTGGTCTTTATGTAAAATCTTTTTTTTTTGAGTTTTTACGGCACTATTGGCTCGTTTTTTGACAGTAAGCTGACAGGAAAGGGGGTGTAATTTTTATGTGTAAGATGTAATTACCATAACAATGTAATAAATACATGTATATAAAATGTACATTTTCATTTGAACACTTTTGGCACACCAGTATTATTATGCTCCATTAACACCTTCATTTTATTGAGATGGATTTGTATAATATGTTAGATTACATGACTTCATAATGACTATGCAATGTGATGTGACTATTTTTTTATTCTAAGTATATTATATAAATTAATCTATTTATGCTATAACATAACAGCAAGAGTGCGCCAAAGTGATGAATTTATCTTTATTTCTATCTAAATGAGAACATCATCGTTGTTCGATGCTGTAGCACACGGATTGTTTACATTGCGACCGGTCTAACTGGGGAGTACCAATATGGCGACCGGTGGCTCCTAACCATGGCCGCAGGAAGTGGGGGTGCTGGGGGTGCCCCCCCCGAGTGACAAGAGGGCGATTTTAAAAATATTTATTAAAAATACTTCGAAAAATTAATACATTTCATATGAATATTTGGTGAAATGATTTTGACTTTTTTAATTTTACTATTACATGTATTTGGATTTTAATTGAATTATTTTGAAGGTTAATCAACACAAGTTCATGGAAGTGACGTTGTCATGGCAACGTAAAGGAAGCTAGTGCTTGGTATCCCGCTCGCGAAAGCAGACTAGTAAATCTACCTTAGAGCACCTGAGCATTTGGACACCTGTACATCTATTCTATTAGATTCTATTATTTTGATCTTGGCTTCTTTATTTAATGGAGAACTGATCAATAACATTTTAATAGAATAATAATATAATTATTTCCTTGTGGTTTCCGTAAAAGGATTTTGGAGCCAATAGATTCATGTGTGACAGAAACACAGTGACTCGGGTTCATTCTAGCTGACCAAATCTACGTTATGATAGTTATTGTGAAGTTTAATCAATAGCGCATATATTCACCTGTGAACTGATAATGTCTGTGTTACAGACTCTGGTTGAGCGCACTGAAGAATATATGAAAATAAAGAATAGAATCTTTTATTGTATTTTAAATAGGCTTATAGGCTCTTAGGTATTTTGTTAAAAAACAACAAACTTCCACAGCACCTCCTTTTCAAAAGTACTCCCAGCAGCCCTGCTTCTAACTGTTTGCTTTCTGCTGTAGTTCAGATGATCTTAGTTTTCTCTCCGTGGTCAAAGAGGAGCCCACCTGGAAATCACCTGGCGGCCCTATTCTCTGCCTGTTTTTATTGGTTACCTTCAACTTCCTGCCATCCAGAGAGCAGATTTCCGACTCCTTCCCGATGGAGAAGTGGTTGACCCTGGTGCAGAACGGAGTCTTCATGGTGCAGGTGAAGTCCATGCCATTCTGCTCGATCACCATCACTGGTTTCACATCCTTACGCATCTTCACGATGATCTCAGGAGCTCCTGTAAGGCAGGTTTAAACCCTTCAGGTCGGTTCAAGAGGAGAGGGGAGCTTTATGTGGAATCCTCACCTATGACTTTGAGGAACTCCTCCAGGTTCTCCTCAGAATAGACCTTCCAGGTGCCGCTGAAGTCCATGTCTGCTGGTTGTGTTGTGCGTTCACAGGTTAAAGCCGCAGTGACACCAGCTGCTGGTTGGCATGTTGGGGACTCCCTGTTATGTGTCAGTGGGATTTCCTTTGAGAACTTTGCTTTCCAGCAGCGCAACACTTTCTGCATGCCTCATTACGCCGCCTTTCCTCACCGCGTTCCACACAAACATCATCATGTTCGCATATCAGTGCAGCTTCGGTTTTTTCCAGTGAACCTTGTCCTCTGTGGGCTGCCTGAGCAGCATTCAGGGACCATCTGATGCTAAACGTCTTGCTCAGGAGCCCAGAGTGGCAGTCAAAGGGATTTGAACCAGATGACTTTCCAAGTTGCAAGTGATCTAAATAAAGCTCAACAAAGCCGCTTCTGTTCTGATAAATCCTCTAAAACAGCTGGAAAGTTTTTTTACAAAGAACAAACCTTCATCGTTGGGAACAGCAGAGAGGATCATCTTCATCAGACTGTCAAACAACAAGTGTGTCTTCAGCCAGAGGATCTCCAGATCTGCTGTTTATAGAAGATCCCTCCGGTTGAAAACATCAACAACTCGAGATTAAACTCCTATAGGATCCAATTTTCCTTTTAGAGCAATAAAGTACTTTGAAATTAACCCTTTGAAGTCCGATCCAAGAATAAAACAAAACAGAAAATTACTTTTTTTTTTTGGTTTGAATTCCTTATTTGGCCTTTTAACAAAATATGTAAAAAGAAAAAACAGAAATACATTTTTAATATTAATAATTTATTACTATGTGATAAGTCAAGATTATTTTTTGT